TGGGTGAGTGCGCGCAGAGAGTAGCTACGCAGCAGAAAGGGGCAGAAGCCGAATGGTGGAGCTGAAGATGGCGGATGGCGACAGCGGGAGTGAGCGCGGTGGTAGTAGCGGAGGAGGAGGTGGAGGCGGATTTCAGCATTTCCAAAGGGACCAGGAGACTCAGGAGCTGGCGTCCAAGCGCCTCGACATCCAGAACAAGCGCTTCTACCTGGACGTCAAGCAGAACAGCAAGGGCAGGTTTATCAAAATCGCCGAGGTGGGGGCCGGGGGCTCCAAAAGTCGCTTGACCCTCTCCCTGTCAGTGGCGGCGGAGTTCCGTGACTACCTCGCGGATTTCATCGAGCACTACGCCCAGCTGGGGCCTAGCAGTCCTGAGCAGATAGCCCAGGCTACAGTGGGCGACGACGGCTGTCCCAGACGAGCGCTCAAGAGTGAGTTTCTCGTCCGGGAAAACCGCAAGTACTACCTGGACTTGAAGGAGAACCAGCGGGGGAGGTTCCTGCGGATCCGGCAGACTGTAAACCGTGGACCTGGCTTTGAAGTCGGGGGCCATGGTACTGGCTGGCCAGACCATTGCCCTTCCAGCCCAGGGGCTAATAGAGTTTAGAGACGCCCTTGCTAAGCTCATAGATGACTACGGGGGAGACGACGAGGAGCTGGCCGGGGGCACGGCCTACGGGGGCTACGGTGAGCTCCCCGAGGGTACCTCCATCATGGTGGACTCCAAACGGTTCTTTTTCGACGTTGGGGCCAACAAATACGGCGTGTTCCTGCGTGTGAGCGAGGTGAAGCCCAGCTACAGGAACTCAATCACCATTCCCTTCAAAGCCTGGAGCAAATTTGGAGGAGCTTTCTGCAGATATGCCGAGGAGATGAAGGAGATCCAGGAGCGGCACAGGGACAAGGTGTACGAGAGGAGAGACGAGTCGGAGGGAGACGACGTGGATGACGACTGAGAAAACCCAGAAACAGCTGTTAGTCCAGCTACACGACAGATGTGCAGTATAGGGGTGTTTTGCAAAATAAGCCAGATAAAGTGCATGACAAATCGTGCAGTTATAGCCTACTAAAGTATGTGGCATAAAAAGTACATGTGCAGGGAGTTCGTGGTGTATTATGCTAAAGTTTGTAGAGTTGAGAGTGTGAATCTCTGAAAGTGAAACAAGTGGGATAAATGTGGAAAAGAGATCGAGCTTACTGGTTGAAAAAGTGCTTTATTGTAAAAAACAAAAACAAAAAAAACAAAGTAAGATGAAGAAAGAGAGAACTACTAAAACCAGCAACTTGGTTTGTATAAGTAGAAATGAATGCTTTCCTACTGCGACATAGTTTATATTGGGAAGGTGAGGAGTCAGCCTGTGTAAGATGGTTTAAGGAGAGAGCATCCATCGTATTCCTGTTCCAGTCCAGGTCTTTCCTCAGTGGGCACGTTAGTGGGATTCCTGCGAGTCAGATGAACCAGAGAGGAATGTTCAGAAAGCTGCTGGATGTGGGGCATTAGATCTGCCAGCGGGTGGAGAGCTGTCAGCAGCAGCAGGATGACTCAAAATGATAGCTGACGTTAGCGAGGAGATTCTCTGTAAGCCCAGCCAAGTCAGGCCTTGCAGGCTAAAGTAAAGCTTTGGCTCCAGTAGTCACTGACGGTGTGGATCAGGTGGATTTTATGTCATACATACAATCTCAGCAATATTTTTAAGCCTAATTGTTTTCAGTAGGATTCACTCAGTGAGGAAGGGGCGGTCGGTTTCCAGACACCAGAGCTTCCCTGGTGTTTGAGGACGACCAACCAGTGGGGCGAGGACTGGACCCCATCCCACCAGGGACGACATGCGGGTTTACATATACGGGCTCATTTGGGTCCAGATATGCGGCAGCTGGACGGGAGCATCAGATGCAGCGAAGCCTCTCTGCTCTGCACAGCATCAGCCTGTGTGCAGTGGCCTGAGCTGGCGCGACGC